CTATCTATCTATCTATCTATCTATCTATCTATCTATCTATCTATCTATCTATCTATCTATCTATCTATCTATCTATCTCTGTCTGTCTGTCTCTCTGTCTGTCTGTCTTTCTCATTCTCTCTACTGTTGTCTTAGTTTCATTCAGTTTTCCAGCTGCACCCGAGTCTGCTCCTGTCTCCCCCACGACCGTCCCTGTGCCTCCCCGAGGCGGTCGCGCCCACTTTGAGAAGCACTGATCTAGATCTATGTGTGGATGACGTCGGCTCGATGACATCATGTGATATTGTTTCTATTTTTGCCATGTTGCTATTGTCTCTTCATGGTCCTTTCCTTCCTCGATTCGGCTTGCCCCTAAACTCGCTAAAACAGCTGTCTCGTCTGTGCTGTGTACCCTTTAGTTCTGTCACCCAGTTGATAATTTCAAAGTCTGTTAATTAAAATTGCGTTGGCACACACATCTTGTGGTCAGGATGACGCCTGCTCGCTGACTCTCTGTAAAGCAAAGGGCCCTTTTTCACACCTTCAGGCGTAATGGGTATATAGGGCTAGACCTATATTTTATAGACCAAACAACACTTGGTGGCTGGTGTGGTCAGCATCATGCCGGCCGCCTTTACTTCCCAGGACTGTACCTGGTACCCACTCAAAACTGGATCGACCTGGGAGCCTAGGACATTTTTGAAGAAAAAAAAAATCCGGCCCCAGTCAGGACCCGAACCCACGACCTTCCGATCCGCAGTCGAGCGTCTAGTCGCTAGACCACTGCGGCTGGCTGGCTGGCTGCCCGTAATATTGTTTCTTTTGTTGTTTTTGCCATATTGTTTGTCTCTTTTCTATGTCTTTTCTTCCCAGATTCTTTTCCCCCTCACAGGGGTCTCAGCTGTGTTGTGTAAACGGTAATAATGTCACCCAGTGGATAATTACGAAATTAGTTAACTGTAACTGGGTTAGCACACACACACACACAAATATATATTTATATTTATATAATCTATGGATATGGATGACGCATGTTTGCTGACTGACGCCCTGTAGTATTGTTTTTTTTTTGCTATTTTTTTTTGGGGGGGGGGGGGGGGGTTTCCTTTCAAGTTCTGTTATTCTAAGATCTCTCCCCCCCCCCCCCGGCCACCAACATTGGTCTCAAATGTGTTGTGTAAACCTGAATGGTGTCACCTAGTTGGTAATTTCGAAATTAGTTAATTGTAACCGGGTCAGCACACACAGACACACACAGAGAGAGATCTGTCTGAAAGAAACTCGGTCTCTCGCCAGCTCTCCCGCCACATGCACTTTCATACTGAAAGAGTCACTTATATCCTGTGCCCATCTTCGTGTCGGTCGGCCGATGTCTCTCCTTCCTGGTACCATGCCTTCTGCTATAATTTTTTTTTTCAATCCGTTGTGGCGCTTGTTATGACCAAAGTATTTCAGCTATAGACACACACACACACACACACACACACACACACACACGCGCGCGCGCACATACACACACACACACACACATATGAATATGGATGACGCATCTTCATCGACTCCCTGTACTATTGTTTCTTTATTTGCCATTTTGTTTTTCTAGTTCTATTATTCCAAGATTTCCCCAACAACCCCCCCCCCTTTTTCCATCCCCCCCCCCCCCACACAAAATAGTCTCAACTATGTTGTGTGAACCGTAATGGTGTCACCCAGTTAATAATTTCGAAATCAGTTAATTGTAACTGGGTTAGCACACATGTGATCTAGAGCTGTGTTCTTTAACCCGTGGACCGCGTTCCCATTGGTGAGCCGTGGACAGGCCCAAGCCGATGGCCATTTTTGTTGTCTAATCAGGTCACGGGGTAGGGTAGGCAGGATTTCTCTTCCAAGATTGGGTTTCTTTATTAATATCCTACCCCCCAGATGACGTCACAGGACAGTCCAACATTTTAGAGGGTGGTAAGACTGGGTTTCCCGGCTTTCTGATCCTTTTAACGACCACAAAACATATAGAACTGCCCTAATCCCAACCCACCTACATCCTACGATAGAGTGCAGCCTAGGTCCTGCAACTATATGCAGCCTAGGTCCACCGATTGCATGCAGCCTATCTGTCATCCCCTGAAATATTAGACTGTCTCATGACCTGTGGATTTCCCATTTTCGGGGTATCTTATTCATAAAGCACTCAAGGTTGCATTCTCTGGGATTAATACGTCATCATCATCATTATCGTCAAGTGACTTGCTATCTAGCGAAGGCGTTCATGCATCTCCATAGATCTAGCTCTTTAGTGTTCTGGATCAGTAACACTGATGATATTCTTCCATGCCACTGTCTTAAGCCATCCATCGTCGTTTCTTTTGGTCTGCCTCTGCCTCTTTTACCAGTGATCTTTCCAGTCGTCACGATATTTTCCTGTATTGCTTTTCTCATCACATGACCAGAGAACTTCAACTTTGTTTGTCGTCTTCTCGTTGTTGTAGATAATGTTCTTCTTTTATTAGCCATTTCCAGGCAACCATTGTTAGTTATTCTGACAGTCCAAGGCATTCCCAACGTTTCCTAGAGAAAGAAAAAATTATGGATATATGAACCAGCGTCATTGCACACGGTTATAAACCATAAGTGCTCTGCCGCCAGTACAGACAGCTGATAAGAAACTGTCTGCCTGTGTCGCCGTCCGCACGCTACTCGGTAGCCACAGCGACGTTCCTCCATTTACCCCAGTGTGTCAACTCTAGTGGTCATTTTCTAGAGGCTGTGTGAACCCCGGGAACCACCAAGCTTTGAACACCGGCTGTGGGCTGCAGCGAGTCGCAGCATGATTTGATAGCGTCTCCTATCGACTGTGTGGCCCCTTTTGAGTTGAAAAATTGAACTTCCGAGCAGGTCAATTCCCCCCCCCTTTTCCTTCTTACAAAAAAAAAAATTCTAAAATGTATTATTATTACTTTTTAAAGGAACTAATACATTTTGTGGTTATGGGCTTGCGTGGTTTCGAAGCGTAGTGTCCGCCTCGAGTGCTAGAGGTTCCGGGTTCAATTCCCGGTACGAGCTGGGATTTTTTCACGTGGACTTAGACTTCTAGTAATTCTCTCTGGTCTCTGGGTAGTGAGAACAGAGCATTGTTGCGCACGTAACAAAATTCAATTGGCAGTCCGAAGTCGAAAAGAGTTGCCTAACGGCGCTGCCGGGGCAAAATTTGCAGTTAAAAATCTACCCAAAGTATTTCAGGATCCTCGCCGGTGCTACAGAGCCTGTGCACTGTGCTGAGCTTCTTCGGACTCAGATGATTAAGAAGAAGAACGGGGCACTTCTGGGTTACTATCCGTGTGCCTTGATGTTGATCCGTTGTTCATAAACTCGTCTGTGGTTTTCTTTATGTATATAGATGTATTGTGTGTAGGGTTAACTCGTTAAAATATGCAATTGGTCGGAGAGTGACTAATATTTATTTACTTGTGGATTAACCTGTAGTCAGGTATACGTTTTATTTTACCCGCCCACACAAGCGCAGGTGTTGTTTCATAACCGTTTTGTTCTTGTCTCGTTTGTGGTTTTCTTTTGTGTATTAATTTATTGTGCATAGGGCTACCACGCTCAAAGATATGTTCTTTACTAATATCCTACCCCAGATGACGTCACAGGACAGTCCAACATTTTAGAGGGTGGTAAGGCTGGGTTTCCCGGCTTTCTGATGCTTTCAGCGTCCTTAAAAGATCTAGAACTGGCCCTAATACCAACCCACCTTAGTCCCACGAGAGAGTGCAGCCTAGGTCACAAGACTGTGTGCAGCTTATCTACCACTCCTGAAATATTAGACTGCCCCGTGACCTGTGGATTTCCCCTGTTTGGGGTAGGATATTAATAAAACACCGGCAGATGCAATTGGTAGGCAAGTGACACATCTTTATGTACTTGTGGAGTAACCTGTAGTCCAGTATACGTTTCAATTTACCCGCCCACACAAGCACAGGTGTTGTTTCATAACCGTTTTATGGCGCTTCCAGTAAAACTGCTTTGCCATTTAGAATCTCTGTAATCTAATAAGTGAAATAGTTCAGGTTGTGCACGAGAATACCTTAGGGCTCACCCAATCATATGATAGTTCTTTTGCATCTGGGTCATTAATTCTTCTAATCAGATAGCATGCGTCATACATTAGGACCTTCTCCCCTTCCACAGTTAAAGTCAGTTACGTATCCTTTGCAGGACGTTGCAAAACCAACCCCAGCATTTTTAGGCTGTTGTGATTTTTCTAGGCTTACTTATGTCTAGTAATTTGCTGTTACTTCTGGACTGTCGGCTTCTCGATACCACTGTCAAAACCAGCGCACGGCCTGCTGCTGGGATCGAACCCTGAACCCCGGCATTACGAAGCGCGTTCGCAACGCCTAAGCCACAGACGCCGACCCGTCCCTAGTAAATGATTTAATATTTACGTATTTTACCATCTAATTGTCTGTGGCTTAGGCGTTGCACGCTCTTTGTGATTCCGGGGTGCCGGGATCGATCCCAGCTGCGGGCCGTGAGCCTTGCGTTGGTGTCGACATTGGTATCAGGAAGCCGACCGTCCAGAGGCAATGACAAACAACTGGCACACGTACACACACACACACTAACAACCCCCAAAAAAAAAAATATGCTGCGGTTGGTTCTGCAGCGTCCTAAAAAGAATACGCACTAACTTCAATCGTCTAAACTCCTAAGCCAGTAGCAGTTATTTGTGTAATTGACGTCTTGTTTTAGTTTACAAGCTGTAGAAGGATCATCTACTTTGCAGTTTGGCTGATTAATGTATCCAGTGAAGATGACAGACAGAAGGTCATGATGGATAATATGACTATAATAAGTTGTAATCTGCTGCAGGATCATTGAGTTACATTGAGATGAGTGATAAATAAAAAATATTTAAGTAATCATTAATAACTGAACAGATTTCTCATAATGAGAAATATGTGCGGAAAGTTGTACCCATAGTTGGCTATCGTGTGAGCGCGGGATTGTATCTCTTCAGCATGGAGTGTCTTGTGGATGATACGATGAACTCCAACTTTTTATCAAAGTGTCCAGACTGCGGCTTGGACTCGCCAGTGTCCTCGACGTCTGGGGACATGTTTGCGAGATGTGAGAACTGCAAGGCCGCTGCAGATACAGCTGTGGTTAATAATAACCAGATGCTCCAGTCTCATCGAGACTTCGTGCCATCGCCGGATTTCACGCGACCTCGGTGCTGTTCTTGTTTGGAAAAGTCATCCGCAGTACAATCCCCAAGGGAGTGCCCGGAGCCAGAGGTCCACCTAGATGTACCACTGGCAAGACCGCGGAGTAGTAGTAGTCCCAACCAATCGGCTTCTCACGACCAGTCAGAACGTAATGCATCAATATCCACCTGCCATAACTTGATAGCCCATTCTAAAGACTGTACCCATATACACTCCTCGCAGGCCTCTCCTGATGGTCTTCTAATTAGCAATATTGCAGACTCCGTGGGACACGATCCATTATCTGTCCAATCTCTGCAACATTCTCCGGACAAACCTGGATCTGAAATACCATCAGACACAGCACTGAGTAATGAAAGATGTACGACCAGTAACCTACAGACGTGTCCCAGTTGTGGTTTAGTGAGTGGCACCAACGATACCGGCCTTGCGAATGTGGACCTTCAGGTTCCTTCTTCCAATGTAAATATTCAGCAGACTGCTAGTGACACTTCATCACCGGGATCTTCGAATATACCCGGGGCTACAGCACCTACAAATGCGAGTTCTTTGTCCGGTGTAGTTGAGGCGAGTAATTTAACGGCGTCCTCTTCAGTCAGTGCCCTATCAGAACCCTTAGCTCCGCGAGGTGACCCTGAACACCAGAAGACACATTCAAACTTTAAACAGAATCCTGAGACTAAAGATTCGCTGGAGATACCCACAGAAAACACTGTCCCTACACAGAACTCCGATGTTCCCAAAAGCGGAGCCCATCTCCGACCCCTATACCTCACTTCCGCACAGATCATCAGTCACAACACAGAGTTGAACCGGATTAAAACTGCCGCAACCAAAAGGACCACAAAAAGTACCAGAAGTCCCCGATTGACCCACGGACACTTCGGCATAGGCCAGCCCTCCAGGCCGACCAGGCATTCTCTCAGCTCGACCACCGTGCTCCCCATGGTGATAACACCAGATTCTCCTTTGCCACGTTTACCCTCGGAGTTTCTCTACGAGCTTCACGATCTAGACCACGAGAACGAGGATCTCTCAGCTGAGGTTGTCTACTCGCTTCACTTCAGGGACTACCAGATTAAAGAGATGTTGGGCAAGTAAGTACTCCGACTTTGGGATTTCTCGCTACATGGGGGACGCCCATTGATGTTCAGGCAGCTGGTTTGATTATTCAGTTAGCCTCATCATATCCTTTTTCTTCTTCTTCCTCCTCATCCTCCTCTTCTTCTTCTTCTTCTTCTTCTTCTTCTTCTTCTTCTTCTTCTTCTTCTTCTTCTTCTTCTTCTTCTTCTTCTTCTTCTTCTTCTTCTTCTTCTTCTGCTGCTGCTGCTGCTGCTGCTGCTGCTGCTGCTGCTTCTTTCTTTCTTTCTTTCTTTCTTTCTTTCTTTCTTTCTTTCTTTCTTTCTTTCTTTCTTTCTTTCTTTCTTTCTTTCTTTCTTTCTTTCTTTCTCTTTCTTTCTTCTTCTTCTTCTTCTTCTTCTTCTTCTTCTTCTTCTTCTTCTTCTTCTTCTTCTTCTTCTTCTTCTTCTTCTTCTTCTTCTTTTTCTTATTCTTCTTGTTCTTCTTTTTCTTTTTGTTCTTCTTGTTCTTGTTCTTGTTTTTCTTCTTCTTCTTCTTCTTCTTCTTCTTCTTCTTCTTCTTCTTCTTCTTCTTCTTCTTCTTCTTCTTCTTCTTCTTCTTCTTCTTCTTCTTCTTTTTCTTCTTCTTCCTTTCTTCTTCTTCTTTTTCTTCTTCTTCTTGTTCTTCTTTTTCTTTTTGTTCTTCTTGTTCTTGTTCTTGTTCTTCTTTTTCTTCTTCTTCTTCTTCTTCTTCTTCTTCTTCTTCTTCTTCTTCTTCTTCTTCTTCTTCTTCTTTTCTACTTTTTTCTTCTTTTTCTTCTTCTTCTACTTTTTTTCTTCTTTTCTTCTTCTTCTTCTTCTTCTTCTTCTTCTTCTTCTTCTTCTTCTTCTTCTTCTTCTTCTTCTTCTTCTTCTTTTTCTTCTTTTTCTTCTCCTCCCCCTCCCCCTTCTTCTTTTTCTTCCTTTTTCTTCCTCAACCTCTTCTTCTTCTTCTTCTTCTTCTTCTTCTTCTTCTTCTTCTTCTTTTTCTTCTTCTTTTTCTTCTTCTTCTTCTTCTTCTTCTTCTTCTTCTTCTTCTTCTTCTTCTTCTTCTCTTCTTCTTCTTCTTCTTCTTTCTCTTTTTCCTCCTCCTCCTCCTTCTTCTTTTTCTTCCTCCTCCTCTTCCTCCTCCTCCTCTTCTTCTTCTTAATTACCACTACTACCACCACAACCACCGCCGCCAACACTACAACGTCGGCGGCGACTATTACTACTACTACTTCTTCTTTGTCTTCGTCTTCTTCTCCTCATGCTTATCCTCCTCGCCTCCTAGTTTTACTATTAGTGTCTTCCCTCAAACGCCTTGGTAACCCTTGGTCGACTGTTTGTATTTCCTCAACCCCCAGCACAACCCCTGTATGTATAAAGCACTAATGTCAATAATATTAGATGAGCTGACGAACGATTGACAACCAGCACCAATGTTTGACTGATTGATTGATTGATTGATTGATTCCACAGAGGCATCAGCAGCACAGTTCGGCGAGTCACCGAGAAGTCCACAGGGGTGGAATACGCGGTGAAGATCATCGACATCAGCGGGGAGAAGGGGGAGATAACACAGCTGGATCAGGTGAAGAAGGACACGTACAGGGAGATCAGCATCCTGCGGATGTGTGCTGGGCACTCTCATATCAGTAAGTCTCTCTGTCTCTCTTGCCTGGCTCGCTAGCGCAGTTGGTTAAAACTCTCTGCGCGTCGAAAAGCCACATTTTTCCCAGATGTATGGTATCTTTCACGAAATCAAGGCCGAAGGTTGTGATATACACAGTACCGAGCCAAAGGGTTTACAACTCATGGTTTCTGGATACCTAAAAACATGTCTCCCTCTTGTTCTTCTCTTTCTCTCTCTGTACGTCTTCATCTGTCCGTCTTTCTGTATCTGTCCGTCCCTCTCTATGTATGTCTTCATTCATCCATCTCTTTGTCTTTTTCTTCATCCATCTGTCTGTCTCTGTTGTCATCTGTGTCTCTGCTCTCTCTCTCTCTCTCTCTCTCTCTCTCTCTCTTCTTTTTCTTTGTCTTTATACTGGGGCACCTCAAAACAGTTACGATGACATGTAGTCCAGAGAGGCTGCGCAGGGCCGTGCGGAGATATGATATAGAGATCGGCAAAGATGCCGCATAAGCAGCAAAATCAGAATACAATTTGAACATTTAAATGGCGGCATTCCGAAGACTTGCATCATACTGAGAGAATCTACAACACGGCCCGGTGGTTGGTTCTTTAGGTTAATAGGGTACAACTCATGAAAGTCACCTCGTCTCGGTAGCCACAAAAGGTGTACAGCTCACAGTGTCACACCAAGCACACTGCTGATTACCTGTTGGATGGAACCTTTTGACTCCCAAACCAGAAATGGGACAATAGACGTCAGCAAATTCGCCATTTGTGACAGATTGTTGCCAGCTAGTGAAGTTTATGATGGTGTTCTTGTTAATAATGAAGATATTCTTCATGATTATGATGTTAAATTCTTGGTGATTATCATGATGTTCCTGGTAATTGTGAAGATTTTTTTTGTGATTATGAAGATTTTTTTGGTGATTATAAAGATGTTCTTGGTGATTATGATGTTCTTCTAGGTGATTATGAAGATCTTCTGCATGATGATGATGTTCTTTGTGATTAAGAAGATTTTCTTGGTGGAATAATATGCTGTTCTTGGTGGATTATGATGATGTTCTTGGTGATTATTAAGATGTTCTTGGTGATCATAAAGATGTTCTTGGTGGATTGTGAAGATGTTGATGGTGGATAATGATTATGTGATGATTATGACAACCTTGATGGTGATTATGGGGTTGCTGATGTCCTGCTGTGCTGTTAGTAGTGAGGAAGACAATGTTGATCATCGTGACCTTCCCCATTTGGGTTCTGGGATCCCATTGTGTGGGGAAACAAGAATAGACCCACTGCCTCCCTCACAAGCGTGTTGTAATTTACGATTCATTGAGGGCTACTTGGGAAGTCGGAGTGCAAGGAACCAACATTCCTCGTAAAATATGTCAGATCTGTCAAATGGATGTGCACCTTACACTCAAGCTCTGAAACAAGACTAAAGTCCAGAGGTGGGCGAACAACCAGCACTTTCTGTGTGAGTTTATAGAAGAAGATGAAGATCGTTGTGATGGTGGTGAAGATGATGGGGGTGGTGTTGGGGGTGGTGATGATTATGATGATGATGCTGGTGATGGTGGTGATGATTATGATGGTGATGATGATGATGGTGGTGATGATTATGATGATGATGATGGTGGTGGTGGTTATGATGGTGGTGGTGATGACAATGATGGTGATGATGGTGGTGGTAATGAGGATGGTGATAATGATGATAATGATGATGATGATGCTTATGGTGGTATTTGTGATATCAGTGGTGATATTTATTATCATGATAGTGATAATGATTATGGTTTCTGTAAGTCGTCTTCTGATGAGGATGATGTATTGCCAACTCATTTTTGCAGTCACTATGTTTATCTGTAATATTCTTCTTTTTTTTCCCAGTTGAACTCCACGATGTGTTCGAGACCCCTACATTTATTTTCCTGGTCTTTGAGTTGTAAGTTTTGTGATCACGTTTCTTCTGTGCTTATGATGCCCGCATTCAGAGGCTGTGTTTTTCCATATCTTTTTAACCCACGACTTAGACTAACGCATTTCAAAGGTTAAGACGTTTGAATGAACGTCCAATCACGTTACGGTCTCCCTGGACCCAATTTCGTTACTTGAACCTTTCGTAAAAACAAAAACAATCACGTGGACTTCTAGTAAATTGCCCTGCACTCTGGGTGGTAAGATTAGACACCCCCCCCCCCCTCCCGTGTGTATTGTTTATCTTAGCAGTTGGAAATAAAAAAAAATGTATAGCCTTTTTTGCCGGGCAAAATTTGAAGTTAAAAATCTACCCGAAGTATTTCAGGATCCTCGCCGGTACTACAGAGTTCGTGCACTGAACTGAGATTCATCGGACTCCGACTTGAGTTACAAGTATAACGGAGCACTTATCGGTTACACCCGTGTGCCATGATGGCTGGGCTCAATATCTCTCTGCAGAGCGGTTAGTGGCTTTTTGAGAGCGTGGCACACCAAAATATATGACACAATAATGGAAAGAAATGTAGAGAGAGAGACAGACAGACAGACAGACAGACAGACAGAAGCTAATAGAGAGTGAGAAAAAGAATTGAGAAAAAGATAGCGAGACACAGAAGGCAGCTAACCAGACAGACAGATAGATAGTTAGACAGATAGATAAAGTGAAAGATACAGAAAGAAAAAAGGGATCAAATAAGATTGAGAAAATAGACAAAGAGATGGATGAAAACAGAGAAAAAGAGAGAGATGGACGAAAACATATATAGAGAGATAAGAGATGTAGGGAGGGAGTGTGGTACAAATAGAGAGAGAGAGAGAGGAGAGAGAGCAGATAAAGAAGAAGACAGAGAAAGATGGATGCAGACAGAGACATGTTATGTTCATGTAGTAATACGCATATTATGAATGTCAAGTCAAAAAACAAAAGCATGGGTGGTAAAATATTTGCGCACGCTCGCGCGCGAACACACACATACACATACAAACCTATTCACTCACTTACACACATAAGCACCCACCACACACATACATACGAACATACACACACACGTACATAAACACGCACATATACATACACACACACAGCTATACACACACATATACACACACTTAGCCCCACAAAAAAGACATCTTCACATACGCACAGACATAACCCACACAGACACACACATAGTTAGCCACAGGCACCCACACATACACACACGCAGGCAGGGAAACACACAGACACACGTAGACATACGCAACACTCACACATACACAAATACACACACGCAGACACACATAGACAGATATAGACAGAAGAAGGCATATACAGAGAGAAAGAGAAACCTAAACATAAGTTGGCCCATGTATGCGTTTATTGTACAGTTTTCATCCGTGTAAATCGACCTTCATGTACTTCATGAAAGAGATTTAGGATACTCTAGGTCACGACCTCGACTTTCGCTCGGGGAGGCGCGGCCTGTAACGCTGGCTGTGATTGGCTGGTTTGTCGGACACACAGCACACGTACCGTTTGACGTGCATTGGCTTCCCTACCCCTTTCTCTTCCCCTCCTTGAAACTAGAAACAAACGATTTCCCTGTCCAGGAATGGGGGCCAGTCTAGTCAGACGAATAATAATTCGGTGGCCTTTTTTTCTGTCACTCACCACTCCCTGCTTTCCTTACCCGTCCCTGCTCGCATAATCTCTATACGTGTGTTCACAGGCTCTTTCTGTGTCTTCTTACAAGTATGTGCCGTTTGGCGTTAGTAGTCTCATGTCTGTCGACAACCTCTGATGTCTCATGTACTTTCAGTAATAAATTGTAATATAGATGATCCTAAGATTACCAGATGATCCTACCTGCCGCGATGTTAAACTGTCCAACATTTTTTTTTTCTATGTCGCCCTCTGCCTCTCCTCCCTTCCAACTTTCCTCCTGTCACGATGTACTCCAGTTTTCTCCTTCTCACCACAAGACAACAACAAAAATGTAGATTGTCTCTTTCTCGTGTGGGCAATCAGTTCTCTTCGCGAGTCAGTCTTTTTCAAGACATCTGCATTATTCTTTGTATTTCCAGGGTATTTTCATCCTTCGTCTGTAAAACCACATTTTTGCAGCTTCCGAGTAATTTGTGTGTCTTGATAATAGCTAAATCGAACTTGTGGTTGAACAGGATTTTCGGGGTTGTTGTTTATACCCGTTTCTCTTCTTTGGGATAGTGATCCTGTAGACTGTAGTGCTAGTGGAGAAGAAACAATAGTGTTATCGAACTGATGGTGTGTACAAAAAATTTGCCCTTCTATCTTAATCTTTTGTTGAGTAGAGAATGTAGACTGTCCTAGTTCTACTATTTCGTTTTTTTTAGATTTAGTCTTTCTATCTGCCCTTTCTCTCTCTCTCTCTCTCTCTCTCTCTCTCTCTCTCTCTCTCTCTCTCTCTCTCTCTCTCTCTGTCCCTCTCACTCTCAATTTTTCCCACTCTGTTTCTCCCGTTTTCTCTCTTTCTTTCCTCCTACTCCCCTAACCCTCTAAAAGGTAAAGTCGGGAGATGTGAACCAGCGTCATTACACGCGGTTATAAACCACAAATGCTCTGCCACCAATATGGACAGCTGATAAGAAACTGTATGTCTGTGTCGCTGTATGCAGGTAACTCTGTAGCTACAGCAACGTTCCTCCATTCACCCCAGAGTGTCAACTCTGGTACTCATTTCCTAGAGGCTGGGTGAACCCTGGTTTTCGAACACCGCTGTGGCTGGATTTGAAAGTGAGCCTCCTATCGACTGCACTAACGCAGCTTCCCAAACCCTGTTTCCCTACCTACACACATGCTTCTCTCTCTGATGTGTCAGCCTACCTACCTACCGACCAGGGATCTGCCTGTCTGCTGATGTGTCAGCCTACCTACCTACTGACTAGGGATCTGTCTGTCTGCTGATGTGTCAGCCTACCTACCTACCGACCAGGGATCTGCCTGTCTGCTGATGTGTCAGTCTACCTACCTACCGACCAGGGATCTGCCTGTCTGCTGATGTGTCAGTCTACCTACCTACCGACCAGAGATCTGCCTGTCTGCTGATGTGTCAGCCTACCTACCTACTGACCAGGGATCTGCCTGTCTGCTGATGTGTCAGTCTACCTACCTACCGACCAGAGATCTGCCTGTCTGCTGATGTGTCAGCCTACCTACCTACTGACCAGGGATCTGCCTGTCTGCTGATGTGTCAGCCTACCTACTTCCGACCAGGGATCTACCTGTCTGCTCCTGTGTCAGCCTACCTACCTACCGACCAGAGATCTGCCTGTCCAACACATGTAGGAAGAAGCATGTACAGAGAATATATATCATGAGGCTAGTGGATAATGACAAATCTCTTGACACTAACACTATTGCCTGACATGGGAGTAAAGCATGGTGAAGCACGTCTGTGCTGCCTTTGAGCCCGAAATAGGAGACGCTAAAAGCAGCTCCTTATGGGAACAATTAATAGAAGTTTGCGTAAATGGCTGCTGCATTGTAAGACTGAGCATGCATGAGAATGCCAAATGTGCAGTGACGTCGATAACATATTTGTTGTATAATTCCTTGAGTGTAATATTTATCCATGTGAAGTGTCATTTGTTCTAGTACTGTACTTGTTTTCAGATGGGTGAATGAATCCAGAATTGACATTTCTGCACTGGGAAACTCCCAAACTTGCTTTGTCCCCTACTTCTATAGTCAGTGAAGAGTCAACATGCTTGCAGTACCAGTTGCGACCGGATTAGAAGTCTGCCTATGTTTCCCTCTCCATTTTGAATACTTTCAAATGTAATTCATCTACTTTGTTTCCACAGATGTCGGAAAGGTGAACTCTTCGACTACTTGACATCTGTCGTTTCATTATCAGAAAAACGAACAAGGTAAATAGCATCATCATCATCATCATCATGTTACAGGTCCTATGCAGAATGTAGCTCTCATCCTTATTTGCCTGAAAAAAACTTGGTCTCTCGCCAGCTCTCCTGCCTCGTGTTCTTTTGTATTGAAGGTGTCACTTATATCCTGTGTCCATCTTTGTGCTGGTCGGCCCCTGCCCCTCCTGCCTGATACCATGCATTGTGCTTTTTTTCTTCTTCTAGAGCTCCGCCGTTGCCCTTGATATGGCCAAAATATTTCAGATTCTGAGACAAGATGCTGTTTATTAACCAATCTTCCTTGGTGTTGAGATCTATTAGGATATAAGTATTTCTTCTCTTCTTTAACCATTGTATTCTGAGAATCTTTCTGTAGCATTTTAGCTCAAAAGCCCCTATTCTCTTTCTTAAGGACTGGGAGATAGTCCAAGGCTCACATCTGTATGATGCTGCAGGGAAAACGCATGCTCTCAAAATTGTGCTTGAAACCATAGACATTTAACTGTTGTGCCGTTATGTGTCACAAAGGGCGCGCAGTCTGTTCCTCCACTATGTTCAACCCTGTGCAGTCAGTGTGAAATTTGAAATGTAAATATCAAATGACATGCGGCGTCCGTGGCTTAGGCGTTGCGAGTCTGACTCATAATTCCAACATACTGCTATCGATACCCCTGGCTGCATGAATTGTTATCATGGTATGGAGCGTCACAGGTCGACCCAGCCTGAAATGGGTACCAGGTTGGATGTCCTGGAGAAGTAAAGATGGCCTAATGCTGAACATATTGCTCACTAGTGCTGATTGGTCGGTAAAAATATGTGTGCTCTTACCAAATACCCGATGCACCTAAAGCGCGAAAAGGGATCTTTACTTACTTACTCACTAAATGTGACCAGTCCTATGTTATTGAAAATAAAAATAAAAATTTATAGGATCGACTTCATTGCACCGGAATTTTGTTCCATATGGCTCAGTCTCTCTCCGCAGAACAGCTAGCCGCCTGCCGAGAGAATCGCACAGAGCGTGACTGGTGACTCCTGTAGCTCCGGCGATGATTCCCATGGTGCTGCCGTGAAACGACCCGACAGCCTTTAAAACATGAAGCAAACGGCTTAACCACTTGTGTGGTTGGCTATTATTTATGTACGCATATCGGTGCACAGTTCTTCATACAGATCATTGTTTCTGACTTTTCTATATCTTATCCCTATGTGACAAGAATGCCCTGGTACTATCTGCCACAACAAGCCACACTAAAACGTTACAACAGGTATAGAGCATGTGGAAGACCTCAGAAAATATGGAGTGATGGCATTAAGAACAGCCTTAAAGAAATGAACATCAGTCCTAATAGTGCTCATGACAGAGCTCATCAACGAATGTTACATCTCCCCCCGACACTTCGATGAGGTACAAGGTGGACGAGAAGAAGAAGAAGAAGAATCCATATGTGTACCATGTCTCAGTAGCAACTCCTTATGTCTACAGATTAATTTACCACATTTCCTTCGAAGTCAAGGTACATCTGCCTGAGAGGTTAGAAACTGACAATCTGCATTCAAGTAAGCCAGATCTGTAAAATGAGTATGCACCCAATACCTAAGTTCTAGAACAACACCATGTTGTCCAGAAGTGGGCAAACAACCAGAAATTTCTGCCAGAGTTTACCCCAAGTGAATGCATAGAAGAAGAATAAGATGAATGTGCCTAGGTTTGGTTGTAGACAAATAAGTAGATGAACGTACGTTTGGTCTTAGATAAATAAGTAAATGGACTGGTATGTTTGGTCTCAGACAAATAAGTAGATGGACTGGTATGTTTGGTCTCAGAAAAATAATAGATGGACTGAGGGTGGGTTTGCTTGAAGACAGAAAAGTAGATGGACTGGTACGTTTGGTCTTAGACAGATAAGTAGATGGACTGGAACATTTGGTCTTAGACAGATAAGTAGATTGACTGAAAGACACAATTGGTAGTAGACAAATAGGTAGGTAGACATAGAAACAGATATTTAGTGGGCAAATTTAAATATGGATTGAGAGATATATTTGGAAGTGGGCAACTTAGTAGATTAGTTAAAAGACAAATAAATAGGTGGACTAAAAAGATTTGGTACTTGGCAAATGACTAGATGGATTAAGAGGGAGATTTACTTTAAATCAAATTCAGTACGGTGACTGTTATATTTTGTTTGTTTTCATTCCCAGAATTTTTATGCGGCAGCTGATTGAAGCTGTAGCCTACATACATGACAAGAACATTGTACATAGAGATCTCAAGGTGAGTTTGAGATGTTACTTGTCATTAAACCTCAAATAGCTTAGAGGCACTTCTTTCAGGTTATTGAATCTGCATAGCATTAAAATGGGTGAAGCCAGACAAGAGAGCTACACAGGGGATCCAAAGAAGAATAAATACCAGCACAGAAGTGGTGTCATAAGCCACTACATGCTGAGGGGGGATACTGAAGAGGGGATCTGAGCACTTATGGACTGGATGGTTTAATGTGCGATGATGATAATTTGTGGACTGACTAACTAACTAGCTATCTAACTTGTATCTGTATGTGACTTACAAATAATACACACACATACATGCACACACACACACATACATTTATATATATATATATATATATATATATATATATATATATATATATATATATATATATATATATATATATACACACATATATAAATATGTATGTATGTGTATATATATATATATATATATATATATATATATATATATATATATATATATATATATATATATATATATATATATATATATATATATATATATATATATATATATATATATATATATATATACATACATACATACATACATACATACATACATACATACATACATACATACATTCATACATATTTATATATGTGTGTATATATATATATATATATATATATATATATATATATATATATATATATATATATATATATATATATATATATATATATATATATATATATATATATATATATATATATATATGTGTGTGTGTGTGTGTGTGTGTGTATGTAAAGAAGCAGACAAAATATTCATTGGCACTTAAAGAAAGAAGTAGAAAGATAGAAGGACACACTAGACAATATCAGAATCAAAAGCTCTAGTCTCCGTGCCTGAAATTATCAAACCTTTCACCTCCAAATGGCATGTGTGCCTTGCTATGGAAACAAGTGTACTAAGATACATGATCAACTAGGCAACACCCCCCCCCCCCCCGCCCTAAAAAAGTGTCTTCATTGACCATGTCTGTCATGCGCCTGAGATCCACAACTATGAAATATGAACAGAATTCATTTCAGACCATTGAAATTAAATCAGAAATTCTAAAAGTAAAGGACCCTTTTCCAGGCCTTTCAGGTGTATTGGGTATATAGGGGTAGACCTATATTTTATAGACCAAACAGCACTTGGTGGGTGATGTGCTTAGCACCATACCGGCTGCCTTTACTTCCCAGGTCTGCACCTGGTATCCACTTAAGGCTGGGTTGACCTGGGAGCCAAGGTTATAAAAAAAAAAAAAGTCTGGCACTGCCAGGGAGTGAACCCACGACCTTCCGATCCGCAGATGAGTGTCTAGAAATTGATATTAACCAAGCGTAGGTCGAATAACAAACATGACAACAATTTTAAGCGTATCTGGTTACAGATGAATTCTGTCCGTATCCCATAATTGTGAATTTCAGGCTGGGAGTCGACAGGCCGACAATTGCAGCAGAAGAAGAAATAGATGAAATAGGAAGATAAAGACAAAACAAAATAACAAAAACAGGAGGTGGTGTAGGAGAATCAAGAAGACAAAAAAAAGAAGCCCAAACTCTTTTTAACATCCCTCTGATACCAAATCATTTTTTGAGCTTTCATTGATCTGTAAATTTGTAACATTTTTTATTTGTTTTCTGTGTTGTTATCTCCAGCCAGAGAACATCCTCCTGGATGATCAGTTGAACATCAAAGTTTCTGACTTTGGATTTGCTACAGTCATCGCAGAAGGAGAGGAGTTAACAGGTAGGCCATGCTTTTTGACCTAACAGGTAGGCCATGCTTTTTGACCTAACAGGTAGGCCATGCTTTTTGACCTAACAGGTAGGCCATGCTTTTTGACCTAACAGGTAGGCCATGCTTTTTGACCTAACAGGTAGGCTATGCTTTTTGACCTAACAGGTAGGCCATGCTTTCAAGTAAAGGACCCTACTCATCATGTTGGTGAATTATGCATGTGATAGTAAAGATAAATAATAAAAATAACTCTACATGGAAGCATGCACAGCAGGGGTCCACCAATCATCAGTAGAAAGGTCCCTCGTCGACGATTGTTTTGGCTCATTATCTCTGTAGACAGTCTCGGAAGGTGTTCCGACCTGGTTCATGAAGCCAGGTTTCAGACATCCCCTGCTGCACTTTATCGGACATTCAGACAGGGACAGAACAAAATGGTGACTTTGCAACAGGTATTCTGAGATTTGGTGTTATATATTATTGCTGCGGTAGCAAATTATTCGCCTACCTTCACGACCAGAGTGACAAGCTTGTGGTTGATTTATCAGACAGATGTTAGACTTTTGCAATTGGCAGAGAGACACTGGCAGACATTTATCGGCTTTATTATTGGCTTTTAGGGATGAAAAGCTCTTTTCTACTAGGGACTCTGACCATTCTACTGAGGCCTATTCCCCACAACATTCAGCTTTGTTCACAGCCAGCTCGAAGCCCTTTCAGCCGTTTCTCCCAGTTGTCTTTTCCTCTCAAGCCCAGCTGATTCAGTACATTGAATGTGGAAGTGGAGAACAGCCCGCTTGCGCCTACCTCGATGTTGAAGATTTTTACTGTGTACGCCTCATCTTCGCTCAGACCAGCCACCAGATCACTGTACTTTTCAAGCTTGTACAGGTGATTTTCTTCCATCCACGACTCGTACGGCACTGTCAGCTCTATCAGGATGAGCTGGCATTTTTTGCAGAGTGCAAGACCATGTCTGGTCTCAGGCCGATCTTTTGGATTGATTCTGGGTAGTTTTCAAAACCAGGCAGGTTGACCGCCAGTAACCAGACCCTTGCAGAGTCAAGCATTGATGGAGCATATGCGACCTTGTTGGCTTTACCTTTAGAGATCTGCCCAGCTTAAAAGAAGCGCATGCGACGGAGGTGGGAGGGGACAGTAGAACTGACCCTTGCATTGGCCCTCATCCTGGCTTGATCCACTGTGTATGCTAACTCTTTCAGGACCCTACTGTGGTGCCACATGTATGGTCCCTGACCTAGGGCTTTTCTGCACGCGGACAATACATGCTCGAGTGTCTGCATAGTGGGCATGTCGGATCGGTGGTCAATAAGAATATACTACATAGAGATTTCAAACTGGATTTTAGGTGGTGAAGATAAGAAAGTTGTACATAGAGATCTCAAGGTGGGTTTTAGGTGGTGAAGATAAGAAAGTTGTACATAGAGATCTCAAGGTGGGTTTTAGGTGGTGAAGATAAGAAAGTTGTACATAGAGATCTCAAGGTGGGTTTGAGGTCATAAAGATAAGAAAGTTGTACATAGAGATCTCAAGGTGGGTTTGAGGTCATAAAGATAAGAAAGTTGTACATAGAGATCTCAAGGTGGGTTTGAGGTCATAAAGATAAGAAAGTTGTACATAGAGATTTCAAGGTGGGTTTGAGGTCATAAAGATAAGAAAGTTGTACATAGAGATCTCAAGGTGGGTTTGAGGTCATAAAGATAAGAAAGTTGTACATAGAGATCTCAAGGTGGGTTTGAGGTCATAAAGATAAGAAAGTTGTACATAGAGATCTCAAGGTGGGTTTGAGGTCATAAAGATAAGAAAGTTGTACATAGAGATCTCAAGGTGGGTTAGAGGTCATAAAGTTAAGAAAGTTGTACATAAAGGTGGGTTTTAGGTGGAAAGTTTTACATAGAGATCTCAAGGTGAGTTTTAGGTGGAAAGTTGTATATAGAGATCTCAAGGTGGGTTTGAGGTCATAAAGATAAGAAAGTTGTACAAAGAGATCTCAAGGTGGGTTTTAGGTGGTGAAGATAAGAAAGTTGTACATAGAGATTTCAAGGTGGGTTTGAGGTCATAAAGATAAGAAAGTTGTAAATAGAGATTTCAAGGTGGGTTTGAGGTCATAAAGATAAGAAAGTTGTACATAGAGATTTTAAGGTGGGTTTGAGGTCATAAAGATAAGAAAGTTGTACATAGAGATTTCAAGGTGGGTTTGAGGTCATAAAGATAAGAAAGTTGTACATACAGATCTCAAGGTGGGTTTGAGGTCATAAAGATAAGAAAGTTGTACATAGAGATCTCAAGGTGGGTTTGAGGTCATAAAGATAAGAAAGTTGTACATAAAGGTGTGTTTTAGGTGGACAGTTTTACATAGAGATCTCAAAGTGAGTTTTAGGTGGTGAAGATAAGAAAGTTGTACATAGAGATCTCAAGGTGGGTTTTAGGTGGTGAAGATAAGAAAGTTGTACATAGAGATTTCAAGGTGGGTTTGAGGTCATAAAGATAAGAAAGTTGTACATAGAGATTTCAAGGTGGGTTTGAGGTCATAAAGATAAGAAAGTTGTACATGGAGATTTCATGGTGGGTTTGAGGTCATAAAGATAAGAAAGTTGTACATAGAGATCTCAAGATGGGTTTGTGGTCATAAAGATAAGAAAGTTGTACATAAAGGTGGGTTTTAGGTTTACAGTTTTACATAGAGATCTCAAGGTGAGTTGTAGGTGGAAAGTTGTATATAGAGATCTCAAAGTAGGTTTTAGGTGGAAAGTTGTACATAGAGATTTCAAGGTGGGTTTGAGGTCATAAAGATAAGAAAGTTGTACATAGAGATTTCAAGGTGGGTTTGAGGTCATAAAGATAAGAAAGTTGTACATAGAGATTTCAAGGTGGGTTTGAGGTCATAAAGATAAGAAAGTTGTACATAGAGATTTCAAGGTGGGTTTGAGGTCATAAAGATAAAAAAAAGTTTTACATAGAGATTTCAAGGTGGGTTTGAGGTCATAAAGATAAGAAAGTTGTACATAAAGGTGGGTTTTAGGTGGACAGTTTTACATAGAGATCTCAAGGTGAGTTTTAGATGGAAAGTTGTATATAGAGATCTCAAGGTGGGTTTTAGGTGGAAAGTTGTATATAGAGATCTCAAGGTTGGCTTTAGGGGGTACAGATAAGAAAATTGTACATAGAGATCTCTTGGTTGGTTTTAGAAGATAAAGATAAATATATTGTACATAGAAATCTTAAGGTAATTTTAGACCATAAAGACAAGTATATTGTAAATAGAGATTTCAAGTTGGGTTTTAGTCAGTAAAGTTAAGAATATTGTACATAGACTCAGATTTGCTTTGGCGAATCAGCACTCAGTGGAGTCAAATATGAAGTCATGAGTATGTGAATAAAACTGGTGATAATTTGGGGGGCTTGTTTTTCATTTTTGTGCAGAGCTCTGTGGTACTCCAGGATACCTGGCTCCAGAAGTGCTAGCTCACTCCATGTATGAAAATGTGTCCGGGTACGGGAAGGAGGTTGACATGTGAGTCTTGTCGGTGTCTGCACTGCACCTCTGTAGTTTAGCCTTTTTTTGTGTTAATTACATATTCTTTTTTTGTCAACTTCTGTCCTTCTTGTTTTTCTTCTTCGTTCTCTCCCCCCCCCCTCCCCCTCCCCCCAACATTTCCCTTTTACCTGGGTCTTTGTCCTCCTCCTCTTTTGCTTTTTTTGGGGCCATTTTTATTCTCTTTTTCCTTTTCTTCTTCTTCTCCATCTTCTTATTCTTTTTTTATCAATGTCTCTATCTTCCTTTCCCTTTTCTACTTCTTTTTCTGTTACTATGTGTTTTTCGTCTTCTCCATTCTCTTTTTTCTTCATCTTTTCCATTCTTCTCTGTCTTCTTCTTCTCCATTCCTTTCTTTCTTCTTCATCTTCTCCATTCTTCACTGTCTTCTTCATCTTCTCCATTCTGCTCGGTCTTCTTCTTCTCTCCATTCTTCTCTGTCTTCTCCATTCTTCTTTTGTCTTTTTCGCCTTCCTCTTTTGATGCGATTATGACTCTGCTATCCTTCTGTCCGATGTTTTTGGTGAAGTTTGTGTTGCCTGTAATTACTTTCTGCAAAACATTTTTTTAAGCTCTATGCATACATCTTTAGCCATCTTCCTCTACTGTGATTGCTTCACTATTCCCTCTTTTGTATTGATATGTCTCATAAATTTTGTTTGCCTTTCTTTATGATTTTGCTGTGGTCTGAAACACATCTAGCATCTTAATTTTTTTCTTTCAACCTTGCTGTTTTGTTTTTTTTAGTCACCTCTGTGTTATTTCTTCTTTCTGTCCATCTTTCTGTCTGTCTGTCCATCTGTTCCGTCCATCCATCCATCCATCCACCCATCCATCTCATATCCCCTACTTCCTTATTTTGTTTTCCCCCTTCAGCATTGCCTTATTGCTTATTCACTCATACATGCTCTGTTACTTCTTTTCTTTGTTATCGCCCTTTCCTTGCATTCTGCTACTTTAGCAATTTACTGCACATTAACAACTTTTGTCTTGTGACTATAGTTTATTCCATGCATATGCAACATAGGTTTGTGTACTGTGAAGTATGAATAGCTATAGTTTGTCAGCTGTCTTACTTTAGAAACAGTTTTTGTCTCTAAACACAAACATCCCCCCACCCCCAACACAGTGGGCCACTAGGGTGAAGTGCAGGGCTATTCAACCAAGTTCATCACGGGCCTAAAGCCGGAGCCCCAGCATAGAAAGATCATTAGTGAAGTTTAGGTTTATACAACGGATCATCATCATGGCACACGGGTAGTAACCCATAAGTGCTCCGTTCTACTTCTAACTCAAGTCTGAGTCTGAAGAGTCTCAGTGCGGTGCATGCACTCCGTAGCAACCAGCGAGGATCCTGAAATACTTTGGGTAGGTTTTTAACTCCAGATTTTGCCCGGTCAGTGCCATTAGGCTACTTTTTTTTTCAGTTCCCAACTGCCAGAGCAATACACACAGGCATCTGATCTTACTACCCAGAGGCCAGGGGAAATTACTAGAAGTCCCGGTGTAAACATCTCAGCCCTCACTAGGGCCTGAACCCGGCACCTCCAGCACTCGAGTTGGATGCTGTACCTCTAGACCAAGCAGCCCCCGTGCAGGTTTCTATGGCAAAGTGATCAAGTCATTTGCCTCACCCTCTGGAGGTTGTCGGTTTGTTTCATGGCTGCACCCTTCATTTCATGAGTGCATTATTTACGGAGATCCCTGGGAATCGTTGACGGAGCTACGGAGTTTGTGCTCTGTGCGACGCTCTCGGCAGGTGGCTAGCCATTCTGTAGAGAGAAAACAGGCCATATTTAAAAACACCTTGTGCAGTGAAGTCAATCCTCTTGAATCAAACTAACCTTTAACATTATTGCAGTACAACTGGCAATGATCCGCAGGCCACTCGCTAGGTCTCCTGCAGGCTGCCAGTTGAACAGTTGAATTTATTTTGTACATGGGGTGTTTTATTTAGGTGTCGGGGGGCATCTTTTGTGTGTCAAAAATGCAGTATTTTAATTAACTAGCAACTGACATGGCAACTCTTGACTTATTATTGTCTTCATTTGATTTCCTGATGCAGGTGGGCCTGTGGAGTCATCATGTACACTCTGTAAGTATCAATGATGCCAGACAATGGTGGAGAGTTTAATAACAAGTTGTATTCATCCCCATGTTAGTTCCATTGTGGGGAAAAAAAAGAATAGGCAAACTGCCTTCCCAGCAAGCCTGTCATAAAAGTCGACTAACTAGGGACTTCCTTGGAAGTCGGGGTGCATCTGCCCGAGTGGGCAGGAACAACCAACTGCACACAAATAACCCAGTAAAACAGATGTACACACGAATCTGAGACCCTGGCACAAAGCCAGTCCAAATGGACAAAAACCAACTATTCGCCGGAGCTTACAGCTGGTGAACAAAGAAGAAGAAACTAATCCGCAGGGGCTTCACCTGTCCATGTCTCTGTCCCTGTCTATGTATGTCTGTATCCATGTCCATCTGTATGTCTGTGTCCATGTGTCTCTGTCTATCTGTATGTCTATGTATGTGTCCCTCTGTATGTCTGTGTCCATGTCTAGGTCTATATGTATGTCTATGTCCATGTTTGTATTCATCTGTATGTCTGTGTCCATGTCCATCTGTATGTCTATGTCCATGTGTCTCTGTCCATTTGTATGTCCATGTGTGTGTCCCTCTGTATGTCTGTGTCCATGTCTAGGTCTATATGTATGTCCATGTCTGAGTCCATGTCCATCTGTATGTCTATGTCCATGTGTCTCTGTCCATTTGTATGTCCATGTATGTGTCCCTCTGTATGTCTGTATCCATGTCTAGGTCTATATGTATGTCCATGTCTGCGTCCATGTCCATGCCCATCTGTGTGTCTATGACTGTTTTCATGTCTATGTCCCTGTCCATGTCTAAAGAAAAAAAAAAAACACGACCCCGTTCAACCTGCTGGTGGCAACGAAGCTGCTAGGGGAAAATCTGTTAGGTCTTTATTGAAGTTACACTAACCATTCTAATGTCTTGTAACCTGTCCAAATTGTTGTCGAGGATGTCCAAAATGTTAAGCACGTAACATCACAATGCACATATACAGGGTGTTGTCCTAATGACAGTTTAAAGTTGGCCATAGCAGCATTCTGTTATCTGTTTTTGATTATTGAAGGTGTGAAACCTATAGAAATATCAGCCAATGAGGGTCCAGATGCATGCCTGTCTGTCATCCAGCAAGTACATGAGTGGAGTATGAAGTTTCAAAACGGTGTGGCTTCTTTGAGAGACTGTATGTGACCGGGTGTGAACAGTTTATCCAAAGAAATTACATTTCCTAGAGATTTAGATAGTCATTTTGATTTCAAGGAAACGCATAGAAAAAAGTTGTGTCATTGGTATTGCAACAACATCTTTTTAAAACCTGAATAACTAGGAATTGTAACGATGTACTTTTAAAACCACATTATTCTCTTTGTGGGTTCCGAGGCCCGATCTTTGGGAAAACAAGAATAAACCCACCTCCTTCCCAACACGCATGTTGCAAGAGTCAACTAATTTGGAGCTTCCTTCGAAGTCAGAGTGATCTGCCTGAGAATCAAGGAACCAGCCAGATCTGTAAAACAGATGTGCACTCAACACTCTGTAGAGCAAGACTAAAAGTCCAGGGTAGACAAGCAACCAGAACTTTCTGCTGGAGTTACAACCGGTGAATGCGAAAAAGACAAAAGTCTAAGGTACTTCTGGGTCCATGGGTAAAAGAGAAAAGCTGTAAGATATCTTGACACTCATGGGTAAAAAAAATAAAGAAACACTGTCAGTAAATGTTGAAGATCCTGATAACAGAGACACAATCTGGTCTGCCCCAATTAGCTTTCATAAAGGCCACCGGCCTCCTGATATAAGTTTTCTGACAGAAGGATCGAAGAAGACGAAAGATCAACTGATGATGATAATATTTGTGTGTGTCACAGATTATGTGGAGCACCTCCGTTCTGGAACCGACGACAGATGATGATGTTACGAGCAATCATGAATGCTGACTACACGTTTAACAGCCCAGAATGGGATGACATTACAGAAGCCCCCAAAAACTTGGTGAGTACACTTTGGTTTATCTTTCCTTGTTGTCTCTTTTGTGGTAGCATTTTACAGCATGAAGAATGTTTTATGTAATCTTTCTTTGTCAATTGGGGCGAGAATGAGAATTTTTAAAAGCTATATAAATACCATCTTGATATAGGGAAGTTAATCATGGACAGTTGATAGATTAGTGAGCAATTATTTAGAAGCTGTGGAGATGTTGTTTTGTAGACAAATGACAAGAATACCCTGGACAGATAAAAATAGTAATGAGGATGTCTTGAAAGAGAACTGATTGCCCACATCAGAAAGAGACAATCTACATTCTTTGGTCATTTGATGAGAAGAAGAAAACTGGAGTTTATCATGACAGTAGGAGAGTTGGAGGGGAATAGAGGCAGAAGGAGATGAGATTAAAGATGCTGGACAGTTTGACATCTCTAAATGTGGGTTCTAGGGCCTCACTGTGGGAAAGAATAGACCCACTGTCTCCCCAACAAACATGCCGTAAGAGTTGACTGATTGGGGGTTTTCGGAGTGCATCAGCCTGAGAAGCAAGGAACCAACAGTCTGCATATAAATAGGTCAGATCTGTAAAATGGATGTGCATGCAACACTCTTATTCTGGAACAAGTCTAAAGTCCAGAGGTTGATGAACAACCAGATCTTTCCGCCAGAGTTTACAGCCAGGGAACGCGAAGAAGAAGGAGTTTGACATCATGGCATTATCCTCCCCCTCAGAACAGGGCACATAACCACATGTACACAGAATTTAAGATAGGTGTATCAGCCATGTGCACATGTGGAAAGGTGCCCCAGACAGCAGAACATGTACTCCAGGACTGCACCGAATTTGATACATTAAAGCAAACCTTTTGGCCAGAAAGAACAACAGTGGAACGTAAACACTATGGACCACTGAATGAACTAACAACGACAGTAAAATTTATACAAGGTACAAAACTGCTGATATAGACAACTTATTTCAGGCGAACGAAAGAAGAAGAAGAAGGAGACATCATGGCATGGAGGTTCATCTATATCAGAATTGATTGAAAGTACACAAGACAGAAGGTTGTAGATAGACATGACTACCAATGCTGCACAGCATGGACTTTAGGAAGAAGAAGTTTCTTTTGTAAAAAGGGGCTAGAGTAGGGTTTCTGGATTGGACTCACACAGACTCATGTGGATATTTTGTCCTGGATATGCAGGAGTACAGGGGAATAACAGCAGATGTTGTGGCTACTAAAGGGTTAGATGCAGGAACACATCTACTGGACAAGAGAGACATTCTAGCTGAGTTGAGTTGATTCAAGAACCGACACCACAGCACTCGGGTCGTTCCCATAAATGCTCCTTCCCCATTTTCAGCAGCCAGCGCAGAGTTCCAGTACCAGTGATGCCAGTAGCAATCTTATTATATCTCTGCCTCCTCTGAGTGTTGAGTATCGGCCATATCCCCTCATCACTCTTACCAGACTGTGGTGATCCAGTCTGCTCTCCAAATTGTACACTTTCTCCCACAATGTCCTGAGCACGTCTGCCTTGTCATGCATCTGTATTCCACCAAGTTGTGCAGAGCCAGTCAGTCTATCTGCCTGTTCATTTCCCAACACACCGGCATTCCCCAGAGAAAGGACATACTGAAGACCATTTAATAACGAATACTGATAGAAGACACCAGGTCTGATGAAATAATGTGTGTAAGAGTGTATGAACATGGAACTGGGAGTGGACCTGGCAAGGAGGGACCTATGAGAGGGAGTGTACAACATGTGTATTATCAGTTTGCTATGGGGACAGTTATCATTTACACCTTAAGGCATTTGCCGTAGGGAGACTGAGCATCTGTGGGTGTGCCTGGTGTGCTGTGATGTCAGTTCCTAAATCAGTAATCATAGTTTGGAGAATTGTGACAGTGTGTTTTCTTAACTGACACGAAGAATCTGAAATAAATTGAACTTTGTAAATAAACTGGCTCTTCATTGTGGGTTTCAGGATCCCATTGTGGGGGGGGGGGGGGGGGGGGGGTTGGAGAATTAATCCACTTTTCTAAAAGAAGTATTTTTTGTGAAAAGTGACTAATTCTGGGGTGTTTCCTTCGAAGTTGGAAGTACATCTGCCATGGAACCAACAATCATAATTAAGTCAGCTCTGTAAAATGGATATACATGAAAAATATAAAGTTCTGTAACAAAACTAAATTCCAGAAGTAGGAACTTTCCGCCATAGGTTACAGTCAGTGAATGATGAGAAGAAGAAAAAGAAAAAACTGGCAATAAAGTTTGCACACACACAAAAAAAAAATGTAATAAATGTTGAATTAAGAATCAGCATCACAGCACTCCCATAAGTGCTCAGTCCTCATCTTCAGAAGCAAGTGAAGAGTTCCAGATCCTTCTGATTGTATATTCGTCTCATTCTTTCCCTGAGTGTTGAGCGTCTGGTAACTCCTTGCAGCGCTATTCTCCTCAGACTGTAAAAAAAAAAATTTTACTAGCAACGAACTTAGCAAGTGGACAATGAAACATCATTATGGTGTGGAGAGTATTTACATCTTGTTATGATTGCAGAAAAAGAAGATATTTTTGACTGAAAGATCTGACTTGCTCCTGTTGCTCTGCCTGTAGATTCAGAAGCTACTGCTGGTAAACCCCAAAGACAGGCTGACGGCCAAGGACGCCTTGAAACATCCCTTTTTCCACAGCCAGGCAAGTACATCATGAGGTTTCATTGTCATGTGTTGGTGAACCTGTGGTGTGTGTGTGGGGTTGAAGAAATGATGGGTTCAAAGAAAAGATGGCTTCAGAGAAGGGATTGTAGCGGCCAGTCCAAAGAGCAATTCAGCAGGCGGCCCAAGGGCCACATATGGCCTATCTAGAGGACTGTGACTGACTTGCCAAATTGTATTGTATTAATGATCTTTGCTGGGACATCTGGCCCATGACAGTCGCTATTTTCAAACATTCTGACCCTTGAGTGAACTTAGTTGAATGGCGTTGGGCTAGACGCTCTGAGGATCTGAAGGTTGGGGATTCAAAACAGCTTCCAGGTCGACCTAGTCTTAAATTGATACCAGCCAGATAAAGTCCTGGGAAGTAAAGGCAGCTGGTGGGATGTTGACAACATCACCTCATTTAGGGCCATTTGGTCTATAAAAATATAAGTCTAGCCTCATATGCCCTATGTGCCTGTAGTGTGTAAAGGGATCATGACTTTTAAAGAAAAGGATGGGATCAAAGAAATGATGGGGGAACAGAGAAATGATGTGGGTCAGAGAAATAATGGGGTGAAAGAAATGATGTTGGTCAGAGACAGGATGGGGGGTTAGAGAAAGGATGGGGTCAGGGAAATGATGGGGTCAGAGACCTGCTAACAGAGAATGCAGGGATTTAAAAAAAAGGATACAAACAAAAAATAATGGGATTATGATAGGTCATAATTTATGGAAACACAGACAGTCCAATACAGAGGTTCTGGAAAGACTGAATGAAAAGAGAATTACTGAAACAAATAAAAAAAGAGACAATTGAAATAATTTGGCCACATTAAAAGACATAACACACTTTTAAATTCATACTGGAGGGAAAGCAAGAGGTGGGCAGTGATACAAGTGGGAGGATGACATCAGGAGATAGACGAGCAGCAGCCTGATAGTGTACAACCTGGATAAGAGACAGAGCATGTTGAAGATCCATTGCAGTCAACCTTCATTGTGGAGATGGCACCTGATTGATTGATTGAAGGGGTTTACACGGCAGAGTGGTTAAGTCATTGCCTTCATTTTCTAAAGGACATGGGTTAATTCAGGACTGTCCTGAAGTTAGCTAAAGTTAGCCTGTCCTTTGCAGACCCTTGCTCCCATAACAACCCTCTGGAAAACTTCTCGATCACAAGCAAGATGTCCCGCATCTGAAGATCATCTGCTACATCCAGCACCCATCTTCTCTTTGGCCTTTCTCTTCCTCTCTTCCCATGCATATACTCCTGCGTTATTGTTCTCTCCTAACTTTCGTTACGTTTTAAGTGACCAAAATATTTCAGTGTTCTGTGTTTTTTTCGTCTTCAGTAGCCAACCTTCTTCAGTATTTAGTTCTTGAATCCATCACGGAAGTTTAATTCTGTGAACAGTGCTCCCTGCATGTGTAGAACCTCTCTGTACAGAGGAAGTGCGCCATTGATTCTAACGTGAATTTCTAAAATAACATTTCCAGAGTAGCATTTCTTGACAGGGAAAAAAATAATTTCCAAAGTAACATTTCTAAAAGCAAATCTTTTTTTATAGTAACATATCTAAAATAACATTTTCAAAGTATCATTTCTTGACAGGGGAAAAAAATAATTTCCAAAGTAAAATTCCTAAAAAACAAATCTTTTTTTAACAAACAAATCTTTTTTAACATTTCTAAAATAACATTTCCAAAGTAGCATTTCTTGACATGGGAAAAAATAATTTCCAAAGTAACATTCCTAAAAACAAATCTTTTTTATAGTAACACATTTTTAAAATAACATTTCCAAAGTAACATTCCTAAAAACAAATCGTTTTTATAGTAACATTTTTAAAATAACATTTCCAAAGTAGCATTTCTTGACAGGGAAAAAAATAATTTCCAAAGTAACATTTCTAAAATAACATTTCCAAAGTAGCATTTCTTGACAGGGAAAAAATTTTTTTTTCAAAAAACATTTCTAAAAACAAATCTTTTTATAGTAACATTTCTAAAATAACATTTCCAAAGTAACATACCTAAAATAACATTTCTAAAGTAAATTACTTAACATTTCAAAAGTAACATATCTAAAATAACATTTCTAAAGTAACTTACTTAACAATTCCAAAGTAACATATCTAAAAAAATATTTCTAAATGATAATGAAACGTACATTGCAGATGGTATATGGAGAAGTTGTCGTGAACATCCAAGCTGGCTTGTTCAGGTTGTAGAAGTTTCACACTGAAACTTATTTGTGAAAATTTCTTTATCAGATTTTGTTCATTTGTTTTTCAGATGGATTGTTGAAAATCATTTTGTTTAATGTGTTGTTTTGGTTTGGTCAGTTCAGTTAATGAGTTTATTTTTTCAGTGCTTGGTTGATTGGGAATGTTCTAGAACAGTGTTTCCCAAACATTGTCTTAGTCGCGGCACATCTTTTCAATTTCAATTTTTCCACTGTGCCCTAACCTAAGTAAAAGTATGACCCTGGGGTAGCGCACAGTTTAGGAATCACTATTCTTCATCTGTCTTCTTCTTCTTCATCTGTCTTCTTCTTCTTCATCTGTCTTCTTCTTCTTCATCTGTCTTCTTCTTCTTCATCTGTCTTCTTCTTCTTCATCTGTCTTCTTCTTCTTCATCTGTCTTCTTCTTCTTCATCTGTCTTCTTCTTCTTCATCTGTCTTCTTCTTCTTCATCTGTCTTCTTCTTCTTCATCTGTCTTCTTCTTCTTCATCTGTCTTCTTCTTCTTCATCTGTCTTCTTCTTCTTCATCATCTGTCTTCTTCTTCTTCATCTGTCTTCTTCTTCTTCATCTGTCTTCTTCTTCTTCATCTGTCTTCTTCTTCTTCATCTGTCTTCTTCTTCTTCATCTGTCTTCTTCTTCTTCATCTGTCTTCTTCTTCTTCATCTGTCTTCTTCTTCTTCATCTGTCTTCTTCTTCTTCATCTGTCTTCTTCTTCTTCATCTGTCTTCTTCTTCTTCATCTGTCTTCTTCTTCTTCATCTGTCTTCTTCTTCTTCATCTGTCTTCTTCTTCTTCATCTGTCTTCTTCTTCTTCATCTGTCTTCTTCTTCTTCATCTGTCTTCATCTGTCTTCATCTGTCTTCATCTGTCTTCATCTGTCTTCATCTGTCTTCATCTGTCTTCATCTGTCTTCATCTGTCTTCATCTGTCTTCATCTGTCTTCACCTGTCTTCATCTGTCTTCATCTGTCTTCATCTGTCTTCAACTTTTATTGTTCCAGGACCCGACATGACAAATTTAACTCTTTCTGTCGTAAGACTTCTAATTTAAAACAAATAAGTTTTTGTTGTTGTTGTTATCGATCCAGCGGCGCATGAGCTTTCGCCCTTTGGCCCAATGCCATGTAGTGGAATTTGCATGTTTTTCACAAGCTGTTCTTTTCCTCCGTACAAGGTGTGCCACTTGTCGTTCAGAGAAGTTAAAATAATGATAATCTTGGGCAAAAGATGGTAAACTAACAGATACAACATAGAATGTAACTAGAAAGCTCAATAGAGAGAATGGAAACGATCTGCAGAAATACAGATGTTTGACCAAAGTCTTTATCAAAGGAGTAATAAATTTAACGAAAACTGAGACTGGAAAACACAGGACAAGACAACAGAGCTTCTAAACAACCAAGGTCAACTTGAACCAGGAAATGTGTATGGGAGGGGGGGTGTAGGGACATGTTACCAAACAAAATAAGTACTAAGGCATTTGAAAAGAGGGGAGAAATATAAGCAAGTTAAAAGAATTAGTAAAATAAAATACAGTCGCGTTAAACTTTGATTTCTGCAGCATTTATTTCTTTCATTTTGACCTTGGTTCTATTTTTTGTTTGTCTCATTCTGTGTGTTTTAATTTTTGATGACATTTAATTTTCTTCCGCAGATTACTGAAGAGAAACTGTTCCACGCTCGAAGAAAGTTTAGGGTGAGAAGAGTGTCCATTTGTGATACTTTGTCTAGTTGAGTTTATATGGAAGTAAAATGGTTCAAATAAAAGAAAGTTTGCTGGAAATTCATATTTAGGAGGAAGTCGGCTGATTAATCAAGTTTCTTCCAAAACCCTTAAAGTTCATTGCTGTATGTATCACCAGCCTTAATTAATCTCAAATGAGTTACCACTAGCCAGCACACTACCAAGCGTCTAGCAGGTACCCTTCCGCTTCCTCTCTTAGAAACAGAACTCGACGACGATGACACCGTCATACATTTTATTCAACAAAATACATGACACAAATGCAGAGACGTAGTTATTGATCACAGTTGACATTCGCACATAATTCTTTTGTCCTCACTCGCTCTCTCTCTCAATTTGTAGCGACCTCTCCTTGACCACTACAGCTCCATGGACTACAGCTTCCCACACTCTGGGCACGCAGTACAGCTGAACAGGACGAATTCTCCCATTCACTGGACCTTGATATTATTTCAGCAGACAACACGGCTGACTGGAGACAGACTTCCCTTGCCGCACTCCGAAAACACACAGCTGTTGTCAGCTTGTCGAAGGGCTCCGATGACCGACAGGACTTCTACCATAAGTCCCCTCTAGCACACAACTCTCGTCGGCACCACTCCCCCCAGTTCTGTTTCACTAGTGGTCCTCCTACGTCTCACTACGTCACCACCCAGAACAGGTACTACTGGAGCCTTCCGTCCCCCTGGACTTACTTCGCCAGCGGGACCATACCTTCGACCAGTACGGCAACCTCAACACTTACTCAGACCTAAATGCCTGATAGTCGTACAGTATTCTTGTCTGTTAGACTCGAGAGAGATATCACGGACCCTGACTTGGTCTATGACTCTCTCTCTTCTCTCTCGACTGCCTCTGACTGACTACTCAGCCTTCCAATTTATCCCCCTCAAATCTGTGTAGGTGGATGATGTTTACACGAGAGGCACGCTTGTATGAAAGTCCTCGTGAATCATGATCCTGTGGGTGTTTTCGAGACTCACGCTCATGTGGGCGTTCTCAAGGATCACGCTTCTGTGGGTGGCTGATGTTACCTGAGAATCACGCTGTCACTTAATTCACACTTTCTCTGTTTATCTCGTTAGCCATGCTTTCAGCCCCCACACAGTAACCCATGCGTCCACTTTTTTTTGTGGCACTACAGAATTACTCTCATACAACTGTCCCTTCACACAATATCATACTTTACACAAATCAGCGCGCAACAGAGAGGCAATGGGAGACCAAGAGAACAGATGTTGGACAGTTTGACATAAAAGCATGGAAAATCATTTGTGTCAGAGTTGACTGAAAGTACACGAGACAAAAGGTTGTGGATAGACATGACTACCAACACCACACGGCATAAACTCTGTCGGCATTAATCAGCCCATCGAAGGTTTTGGCAGCGAGTGAACAGTGGGAAAGTACAAATAGATCATCTGGGTCTGAGGAGAATGGTGTTGCGAGGAGCAACCAAGGGATCTGACCGAAGCCCAACACTCAAGGAAAAGGTGAGGCAGATGTACAGTCAGACAGTTACTAGCACCATAGGAATTTGAACTCTTCGCTTTCTGCTGAAGATGGAGACAGAGCGTTTATTGGAGTGTCCCAAGTGCTGTGATTTCGATTCCTAATTCAACATTCAGCAGAATGTGAATCCAATATCTTTTTTAAAGCCAGGGTGACTTAAAATTATCAGGCAGCAACATTCTGCAAATGACCTGCTACATGATGCTGATAATGATGTTTAGATCAAGCCATCCGGAAGGGTTTACTATATGCTAAAGGACAGAAAAGGAGTAGAAAAACACATACATTTGGTGAATGATCACATTTTTTTCACTGGACAGTGGCAGCTTGTATCATTGTCTACTTGAGACTGAGCTTTTTTCCCCATTTTGAAACAAAATCTCTAAACATTCTACTTGAGACTGAGCTTTTTTCTCCATTTTGAAACAAAATCTCTAAACATTCTACTTGAGACTGAGCTTTTTTCCCCATTTTGAAACAAAATCTCTAAACACCGACTGATTGTATATCTGTCTCATCCTTCCTTTAAGTGTTGGGCATCGGCCAGATCCCTTGGTAACTCCTCACAGCACCATTCTCCTCACACCGTAATGATCTGTCTGCGCCTTGGCACTGTTCACCCGCTCTCAAAGGGCCCTCACAATATCTAGCTTGTCATACATAAATTCACCACCAAGTCCTGGCCTGCTCATTTCCCAACACACTGGCATAACCTGGAGAAAATGTGTGCAGTGTGTGTGTGTGTGCGCTTGGATAGTGTTTAGGAGGCCCAGATGTGGATATATAAACTAAATTTAACATTTAGAGGCATTTCCTGGTGACTCCAATAGCTTTTCACAGTCATGACTCAGAAGTATCAGACAGCCTGTGTTGAGAGCACCATTCTGCAGATGACCTATGTGATGTTGGTGTTGAGAGCACCATTCTGCAGATGACCTATGTGATGATGGTGTTGAGAGCACCATTCTGCAGATGACCTATGTGATGTTGGTGTTGAGAGCACCATTCTGCAGATGACCTATGTGATGTTGGTGTTGAGAGCACCATTCTGCAGATGACCTATGTGATGATGGTGTTGAGAGCACCATTCTGCAGATGACCTATGTGATGTTGGTGTTGAGAGCACCATTCTGCAGATGACCTATGTGATGTTGGTGTTGAGAGCACCATTCTGCAGATGACCTATGTGATGTTGGTGTTGAGAGCACCATTCTGCAGATGACCTATGTGATGTTGGTGTTAAGAGCACCATTCTGCAGATGACCTATGTGATGATGGTGTTGAGAGCACCATTCTGCAGATGACCTATATGATGATGGTGTTGAGAGCACCATTCTGCAGATGACCTATGTGATGTTGGTGTTGAGAGCACCATTCTGCAGATGACCTATGTGATGATGGTGTTGAGAGCACCATTCTGCAGATGACCTATGTGATGTTGGTGTTGAGAGCACCATTCTGCAGATGACCTATGTGATGTTGGTGTTGAGAGCACCATTCTGCAGATGACCTATGTGATGTTGGTGTTGAGAGCACCATTCTGCAGATGACCTATGTGATGATGGTGTTGAGAGCACCATTCTGCAGATGACCTATGTGATGTTGGTGTTGAGAGCACCATTCTGCAGATGACCTATGTGATGTTGGTGTTGAGAGCACCATTCTGCAGATGACCTATGTGATGATGGTGTTGAGAGCACCATTCTGCAGATGACCTATGTGATGTTGGTGTTGAGAGCACCATTCTGCAGATGACCTATGTGATGTTGGTGTTGAGAGCACCATTCTGCAGATGACCTATGTGATGATGGTGTTGAGAGCACCATTCTGCAGATGACCTATGTGATGTTGGTGTTGAGAGGACCATTCTGCAGATGACCTATGTGATGTTGGTGTTGAGAGCACCATTCTGCAGATGACCTATGTGATGATGGTGTTGAGAGCACCATTCTGCAGATGACCTATGTGATGATGGTGTTGAGAGCACCATTCTGCAGATGACCTATGTGATGTTGGTGTTGAGAGCACCATTCTGCAGATGACCTATGTGATGATGGTGTTGAGAGGACCATTCTGCAGATGACCTATATGATGTTGGTGTTGAGAGCATCATTCTGCAGATGACCTATATGATGATGGTGTTGAGAGCATCATTCTGCAGATGACCTATATGATGATGGTGTTGAGAGCATCATTCTGCAGATGACCTATATGATGATGGTGTTGAGAGCATCATTCTGCAGATGACCTATATGATGTTGGTGTTGAGAGCATCATTCTGCAGATGACCTATATGATGATGGTGTTGAGAGCATCATTCTGCAGATGACCTATATGATGATGGTGTTGAGAGCATCATTCTGCAGATGACCTATATGATGTTGGTGTTGAGAGGACCATTCTGCAGATGACCTATATGATGTTGGTGTTGAGAGCACCATTCTGCAGATGACCTATATGATGATGGTGGCGGTGACTTCTAGAAACACTGGGTGTGTCGAAGAAGAGGAGGACAAAGAAGAACTGGAATGACAATATCAAGAGTGGACAGGACCAAGTTATCATACAGTTATTCACCAAGTGAAAGACAGAGAAAGATGGTGGGTTCTATGTGCAAGTTCTTCTATCAATACACCTCCATGACCCTAATGGGTCAAGGGCTATGTTATGTTATATGATGATGGGGATTCGATAAAGCCATTTGGAAGGGTTTCAGTTTTGCTCAAAGACAGAAAAGAAGCAGAAAAAGTCGCAAAATTTTAGTGAATGAATATATATAATTTGTTTGCATCTCCACAGGCGGTGGCAGCTTGTATTATGTTCTACCTGAGAATGAGCTTCTTCTCCAAGCAGCCACCTCCCATCTCCTTGGACATGGTGCGCAGCAACCCTTACGGCATCAAGATCATGCGCAAGATCATCGACACCTGTGCTTTCGGGATGTACAAGCACTGGGTGAAACGGGTGGACAACCAGAACCGCGCAGCGCTGTTCGAGCACACACTGAGGGATGACTGGAAGCACACGCCGATGATTATTGATGGGATCAAGATATGAGAAGTCCCATGTAGCAAAAACTGGGTTTTGTCAGTGCACTTTAGAAGTTTCCCTAGAAAATATGTGGTTTGTTTGAACTGTTATTTTAACATAGTGACTTTTATATTTGAATCAATTAACATGAAGATTGTAAAACTTGAGATAAAATAAAATAAAATAATCTCCACAGAGTATGTGTGTGTGTGTGATACCTTTCCGATTTGTTGCCTTCTACGTCTTCTTCCCCTTCATATAAGTATTTAAAAAAAGTAAAGGTCCCTTTTCTATGCCTTAAGGCATATAGGGCTAGACCTATATTTTTATAGACCAAGTGGCACTAAATGGGTGATGTCAGCATCATTGGGCCGTCTTTACTTCCTGGGACTGCACCCGGTACCCACTCAAGGCTAGGTCGACCTGGGAGTCAAGGTCGTTTTTAAAAAAAAAGTCCGGCTCCGCTAGGGAGCAAACCCGTGCCCTTCCGATCCGCATGCGAGCGTCTAGCCGCTCCACCATGGTGACTACCTCCCTCCATATTATTTTAATTTTATTCTTTACTATGAATGTTTGCATCTATGGCTAGGGTGTTTCAAACTCGCTTCATAATTCTGAGGTGCCGGGTTCGATCCAAGCTAGAGGCCAGAAGATCGCCTTGCATAAGTTTCAACAGTGATATCAAGAGCCAACCATTAAGACAGCAGTGGCAAACCACTGAAGGTAAAATTGCTGAATGAAAATAGAAACAGCCCCCCCCCCCCCCCCCCCTCAAAAAAAGTGGGGAGGTTTTTAGCAACATCCTGTAACGGATACACAACTAGTTAAAAAAAACTTTTTATAGGATAACTTGATCATCGTCATCATTGTCATGAACTTTCACTTCTGCCGTCAAGTATTGTGGGGAGGAACAGTTTGAGGTCCACTGCTTGATGGGTAACGCTGACTATTATTCTCTGTGTGAATGTCAAGAAGAGATATAAAACCGAACCAAAAGTATATTAGCAAGCTTCCCAATATAACATATACAAAGAGAACGTGAACATTGCAGCTATGGAGCCTTTAACAGCAAATACGCAAATCAAACAATACCACACGAATACACAAAATCACTTAGCTGGTATCTTGAAATTGAACAGCCTTAAAAGTCTATGGTTAAGCACCAGCAAGGAAATAAAAATTAGAATTTTGAGAGCATGCATCTTCCCTGTGGCTACATAAGGATGTGAGTCGTGGACTATTTCTCAGTCTTTAAGAAAGAAAATAGGGGCTTTTGAGCTGAAATGCTATAGAAAGATTCTCAGAATATCTTGGACAAAGAAGATGAGAAATATTGACATCTTAAAAGATCTGAATATCAAGGAAGATTGGCTAATAAACAGCATCCTTTCTCGAAAGCTTGAATATTTTGGTTATTTCACGGGCCACGGCGGAAGGAAAAAATTATAGCAGAAGGCATGGTACCAGGAAGGAGGGGCAGGGGCCGACCAACACGAAGATGGTCACAGTATATAAGTGACTCCCTGAGTGTGAAAGTACATGAGGCGGGAGAGCTGGCGAGAGACCGAGTTTCTTTCAGGCAGACTGTGATGAGAGTGACGTTCTGCAAAGGACCTGCTACAGGATGGTATCTTGAAACAGCCTGGTCGATGACTTCTCAGCTGACTATCGACACACGTGGGCCAGGGGAATAAATACCCGAGTGGAGTATCATGGGGCCATAATGGAGGGGGGTGGGTGTTGAGATAAAACTGTGTGGGCAGTTCAAACCCCTAGAAGTTTCAATGAAATTTTGTTGGCAGTTCAGTCCGGTGGGTGTTGAAGTACCCAAAGTGTGGATGTAAAATGTCTTTAATGTCAGCAGTCTATCTTCTCCTTCAGCCTCCTTTCTCATATCTGCTTCTTCTGGATGTAGTGGTTGTGTTGTGATTACCAAATCATCTTCTGTTTCTCGGTAAATTTAGTAGTTGTTACCACAGTCTGTCTTCTTCTTCCGCTTCTTCTTCGCGTTCGGTTTCGTATGCTCAGATCAGATCATCAGGTGGGTTGTCTCTATGAACTCGCATGCCAGCAGCAGGTCCTTTATGGTTCCCGATTGCTTACTCTGCACACTTAACTCTTGAGACCAGGTGTCTTTTCAACAATCTCTCTGACTGTGTTGCTTCCCACTTGGTCTCAGGGGATTAACTTGGTGGCTTTCCTTGGCATCTTATATGTGATAATTCACATAGGTGTACCTTTATCATCATCAAATTTTTAACCCCTTAGATAAGTTGAGAAACTACCTCATTATTCTATTTCATTCTTTGGTTCTCTTTCTTATGTCTGGCTAGGCTTTTGTGGTTATGAATCCAGTTTCATAATTTTCACATACCAAGGTTTTAAGTCAGCTGCAGGCAGTTTGGCAGAAGACTACATTGCAATGATTTCAACAACATGATGCACACTGTTCAGTGAGTAATGGCAAACTACTGGCCATGGCTATCTGTTGCATTCTCCCTCGTATGTCGACTGTCAGTATGTTGTTTCATCCCTTAGCTACTTAGTTGAGTGCATGGCCTGATAATGTGAGCTGTGGATGTGATTTAGACTGTGTTTCACTTGTGCCCAAGGTTGTTTGTGTTGTCAGCTTTAAAAAAAATAGAGAGTGGCTTGTTGCCACAGAATGGTGGTGCCTTGTGCAGTTAATTGCATGTGCAGATGCTGATTTGTTGTAATTGGCTTTACAGAGACTGCAGGATGTTTAAAAAAAAAACTTGTATGTGTGTGTATGTGTGCTTTCGTTCGTTCTATGACACAGAGGACAGCTGTCGAGATTCTCTGGTTTTCATTAGCACATTTATGGAGCAATTATTGAGTTACATATCTGCTGTGAAGTTGGCACTGTGATTAACTGAAATTTGTGTAACTCTCTCCGATTCCGTGGTTGTCTTGTCTTCTGTCTGTAACTCCTCCACTTGCTTTTCAAATGCAAACATGAATGGATATTTTCTCTAGGGCGTAAAAGTATGTTTAAGATGATTTCAAATGATGAAGCAGTAGAAGAATCTGAAGAATTTTTATGCATTGGAAGCCGATGGGGATTTTTAAAAATGGATGTAGCATCAAGAATAAACAAAACATATCAAGTATTTGATTAACAATATATGGAAGTCAAAGGAACTTATATTGGTAATGAAACTAAGAATATGTAAAAGCAACATTTTAGGAATACAGTCTAAAACCGCAAGACCGCAGAAATATCAGAAACTGAGATGTACTTTTTATGAAGTGCACAAAAAGGCCTGTTCCAGAGATCTCTTCTTGCCGCGACGCAATGAGACATTCCAGAAGTAGAGAAAAGAAGAAGTATATAACAGTGAGTGTTGGAAACTGATAGAAAGTATAAGACATGAACTAGACTTTTACGAAAACATATCTAAGGAAAATCCTTAAAATATTTAGCCACACACTTGAAAACCTCGGAGAAAACAAAATGTTCATCAGAAGAAGTTCAGATGGCTTAGACCAGCGACCTTTTTTTTTTGGGTAGGGAGGGGGGTTGAACGACCTTTTCACATGGGTTGACAAAAACCATTGCAAAACAAATATTAAAGTTACGAAGTAGCGACGGAAATAGTTGAATGGTTGGGGGTCGCAACAGCATGAGGAACTGTATTAAAGAGTGGCCACAGCATGAGGAACTGAATTAAAGAGTCGCCACAACATGAGGAACAGTATTAAAGAGTCACCACAACATGAGGAACAGTATTAAAAAGAGTCGCCACAACATGAGGAACTGTATTAAAGAGTCGCCACAACATGAGGAACTGTATTAAAGAGTCGCCACAACATGAGGAACTGTATTAGTCGCCACAACATGAAGAACTGTATTAAAGAGTCGCCACAACATGAGGAACTGTATTAAAGCGTCGCCACAACATGAGGAACTATTAAAGAGTCACCACAACACGAGGAACTGTATTAAAGAGTCGCCACAACATAAGGAACTGTATTAAAGAGTCACCACAACATGAGGAACTGTATTAAAGAGTAGCCACAACATGAGGAACTGTATTAAAAAGAGTCGCCACAACATGAGGAACTGTATTAAAGAGTCGCCACAACATGAGGAACTGTATTAAAGAGTCGCCACAACATGAGGAACTGTATTAGTCGCCACAACATGAAGAACAGTATTAAAGAGTCACCACAACATGAGGAACAGTATTAAAAAGAGTCGCCACAACATGAGGAACTGTATTAAAGAGTCGCCACAACATGAGGAACTGTATTAAAGAGTCGCCACAACATGAGGAACTGTATTAGTCGCCACAACATGAAGAACTGTATTAAAGAGTCGCCACAACATGAGGAACTGTATTAAAGCGTCGCCACAACATGAGGAACTATTAAAGAGTCACCACAACACGAGGAACTGTATTAAAGAGTCGCCACAACATAAGGAACTGTATTAAAGAGTCACCACAACATGAGGAACTGTATTAAAGAGTAGCCACAACATGAGGAACTGTATTAAAAAGAGTCGCCACAACATGAGGAACTGTATTAAAGAGTCGCCACAACATGAGGAACTGTATTAAAGAGTCGCCACAACATGAGGAACTGTATTAGTCGCCACAACATGAAGAACTGTATTAAAGAGTCGCCACAACATGAGGAACTGTATTAAAGCGTCGCCACAACATGAGGAACTATTAAAGAGTCACCACAACACGAGGAACTGTATTAAAGAGTCGCCACAACATGAGGAACTGTATTAGTCGCCACAACATGAGGAACTGTATTAAAGAGTCGCCACAACATGAGGAACTGAATTAAAGCGTCGCCACAACATGAGGAACTATTAAAGAGTCACCACAACACGAGGAACTGTATTAAAGAGTCGCTACAACATGAGGAACTGTATTAGTCACCACAACATGAGGAACTGTATTAAAGAGTCGCGACAACATGAGGAACTGTATTAAAGAGTCGCCACAACATGAAGAACTGTATTAGTCGCCACAACATGAAGAACTGTATTA